TATATATATATATATATATATATATATTAAGCTGCTTACGCATTAAAATTATAAGCGCATTGAACAACACTATAATAAAAAAAAATAGCACCAAATAATTAAATTGATATTATTGGTATATACTACACTGCACATTTTCTTATTTGAAAAATAATTTCTGTTTGTAATTCTAAATAACGCGTTCTACTTGTTTTAAAAACATTGTAGCAAAAAGAATAAAATAAAAAATAATAATTAGTTTGTCTTATACGTTTTAGTCTTATAAAGCGTTGAAAATTAATCTTGTTTGTTTCTCTCTTTATATATATATATATATTTTTATATTGTGTAATATGTATTACTCTATATGTGGTATAAAGATAATTATATATTGTTTTTTATTCATATTACCAAACTAGTATCTGTGTACAACTTAAAATCATTGCACTCGGTAATGTCGATAGTATCCAAAGCTTTATAAGAATTACACGCAATATTTAATGCATATTATATAATATCTGATACGCAAATAATAGTATTGCACATTAATATATCTTTAGAAAGAAAGAAAATACTCTAATTAGTTAATTTTCATACATTCCTATCACGAGAGAGAAAAGGAGAATAAAGCTATTAAATGGAACTGTATAAAACAAACTATAATATGAAATTATTATTATAATAAAAATAATATATTATTATAGAACACAAAACTAATTCAATTTTTTACTTTGCAAAAGTATTCAAAATCAGTACTTATTAAAAAAATAAGCAATCTATGTTTTTTTACTAATATTCACGCTCTAATATAAGAGCATACGTACATTTTAATCAAAATACAAAATTATAAATGTAGAATAAATTAATATCTTTTGACTGTAAAGTTCTCTGGTAATAAAGTCTTTTTTTCTTATATTTGTCTGTTTAATTGTAAGTCTATAATATGTGTTATGGGATTCTTTAAAATATTAATGTATATATTTTGCATATATTAAAAATAAGCAGAAATAAAAAGAAAAAGAAATTATATTTTTTTCATAACACAATAAATAAATAATTGTTTATAATTTATATAAAATGTGTAATATTATAATTGAAGTAAGTAATAAAAATAAAATTAATATTTACAACTCGCGGCAGTAAATTATTATATGAAGCTATGAGAGTACTATTTCATTAATTAAACTAAAGAATAGGATACATTTTTGTGACCTGGTTGCTTGTGACATGTAAATAAAAATAAATATATATATAACTATATATATATATTTTTTGTATAGAGAGTAGTCAATACAACAAGGCACAGCATGCACCATTCACAGAAGAAATAATAATTTTGTCATTTAATAATATTTATGCGACATCTGCTAATTTTCATTTGAAAATTTCTCAACAATGTTTATTTAATCAACAGCACGTTCCTCCATATATAATATGTCGCCAGACAATTATTTATGCGGTCACATAAATGGCTTTTTATTATTGGTAACTTTATAGTTTTTTTATCTTACCATTGAAACATGCTACCAATTAAGATAATTAAACATAACATTAAGTCAGATTTTACTTGTACATTACTCTCACTGTTTGTCTCTATCAGTCTTACCCTCATTATTTTGTAACATTTTCTTAACACATTTAAACATCAGCGGAAATTGGATTCATACTAAAATACAAATAGTACTAAATTGGCTGTTCATAGCTTTATCGAAGCCGAGATGGATAAAATGTATTTCATAAAAATAAAAAGTTTACTCAAGTAACTTCACCTGCGAAAGCTTCATGCTGCATTAAACAAACCTCATCAATATTAGCTACTGCACATAATTATTTTAATATATATATACATATATATATATATATATATATATAATATATATATATATAATATATA